GTGAGGATTAAGGAAAAGAACAACCCACACCACCAATTTTTTAAAAATATATTTTTATTGATTTCAGAAAGGAAGGAAGAGGGAGATAGATAGGAACATCCGCCCTGACTGGTTTGGCTCAATGGATAGAGCATCGGCCTGCGGACTCAGGGGTCCCAGGTTCGATTCCAGTCAAGGGCATGTACCTTGGTTGCGGGCACATCCCCAGTAGGGAGTGTGCAGGAGGCAGCTGATCGATGTTTCTCTCTCATCGATGTTTCTAACTCTCTATCCCTCTCTCTTTCTCTGTAAAAAATCAATAAAATATATTTTTAAAAAAACAAAAACCTTTCTTCCTTAAAAAAAGGAAAAGAAAAAAAAAAAGAAACATCCTTGATGAGAATCATGGATCAGCTGCCTCCTGCAAGTCCCCCACTGGTGATCAATCCCAAAACCCTGGGATGTGCTCTTGAAAGATTCGAACCTGGGACCTTTCAGTTCGCAGGCCCACGCTTGATCCACTGAGCAACCGGCCAGGCAGGCCACAGGTGTTTGTAGTTGTTGTTTTTAAGTGGTGACCTAAGGAAAGCGCTGCCGTGTGGAGGATTCTGGGAATTGTAGTCCCGGAGCGCCAGGCAGGCCGAGCCACTTCCGCTCTAGGAGCGGGAGCCGCAGCCCTGGTTTCGCTGCGGGACTGTGCGGAGCGCCGGCCGCTCTCTGTGCCTTCTGAGGGGAGTGAGTGCGGCTCCGTCCCCTCCCGGCTCGCCTGGGCCTGGCGCCCGCAGGTGCCTCTTGCTCGGAGGAACAGAAGCCGCGTTGGCAGGTCTGTGCCTGCTCCTCGGATGGAGTTGGGGGCGGGCCGGGGTCCCCGATTCCAGGCTTGAGGGTCTCGGGGGGCCCGTTCCCTCGCCTCCCTTACTGCTGCGCGCTCTGCCGCCTCCTGATGATGCCTTGAAGAGTTATTTAATTGCTCCATTTCTCCCACCTGGAGTGCAGTTAATGGTAGGGCGCTGGAGGCGGACCGGCCCAGCCACCCCCAGCCCAGTGTGCGGGTTCCTGACTTCCTGCGGGGAGATTTCACAGCAAGAGTGGGGGTTACCTTGAGAGTCTGTTGACTAATGCTGGGGACCGTAAAGAGTTCAGGAGAAAGAAAATACGAAGTCCGTGCCAGATATAAGGGGTGGGCACGCTCCACAGAGGGCCTGGGGCTGGCTTCCTTTCTGTTGGGGGGTTTTAGCTGCTTTCCAGAGGCGGGATTTTTAGGGGGGACGGAGGGTGGCTAGCTGAGGGTCTCAATAGAAGATTCATCAGCTTTCCAGGTGTGCCTTTCAGGGTGAGGGCGCCACTGCTTCAGCGGTTCTCAACCTGTGGCCTCTTTGGGGGTCGAACGACCCTTTCTCAGGGGTCGCCTAAGACCATCAGAAAACACATATATAATTACATATTGTTTTTGTGATGAATCACTATGCTTTCATTATGTTCAATTTGTAACAATGAAAATACATCCTGCATATCAGATATTTACATTGCGATTCATAACAGTAGCAAAATTACAGCTATGAAGTAGCAACGAAAATGATTTTATGGTTGGGGGTCACCACAACACGAGGAACCGTATTAAAGGGTCTCGGCATCAGGAAGGTTGAGAGCCACTGCACTGCTTGGTCAGCCCAGGGCAGGGGTCATCAGTCATTGCCGCTGGCCCTGGCCTCCCTGCCCTGGTTTTGCAGCTTTTCTGGGCCCGGAGCTGAAGTACAACTGAATCCTATATGTTCTCTCTAGAGAGGGAAGCTCAGGGGGGAGGTAAACCCATGACCCTGCTTTCTGCCTGGGTGACCTTCTAGATCGGGCTGTAAATTGCGGTATCAGTTTTATCAACAGAAGAAACACTCAAACTTACAGAGAATATACGTTTATCTGAGCCAAATTATCGACAATTGTCAGGAAGCAAAATCTCAACGGCTTGTAATTACTACATTACAGTCAAGAGAAGGTGCAAGTGGGTTGCATGAAATGCATTGGTGAGGGATTACGGAGGTGAGAGAAAGCAAGGCGGGGGAAACCTCTGGTATTGGATGAAAAGTAAAAGGATAGACACATCTTTTCATAGGTGGGTGCAGGATACCTACCAGTCAGCAATTAACAGGATAAAAATAACAATGAGGATTTGTAGTCTCTGCTCTGGTGCGTAGGCTGAACCCTGCAGGGTCTGGAAAAAGGGAAGTGACCCTGGCATTTCAAAGGTATGTTATCTTAGACTCTGCTGATGTAAAGATAGACTTTTGTCAGGAAAGATTCTAGCCCAGGACAAGCCATAAACTGCTTTTAGTTTAAAAGTTTTAATTTCAGCCCTAACGGGTTTGGCTCTGTGGATAGATTATCAGCCTGAGAACTGAAGGGTCCGGGTTTGATTCCGGGGCACATGCCCGGGTTTCTGGCTCAATCCCCAGTAGGGGGTGTGCAGGAGGCAGCCGATCAATGATTCTCTGTCATCATTGATGTTTCTCTCTCTCTTTCTCCCTTCCTCTCTGAAATTAATAAAAACATATTTTTTTAAAAAAAGTTTTAATTTCAGACCATCCTTGTGGTTACTTTAGGTCTCTGAGTTTGCAAGGCTGCCATGTAGGCCTCGCCTGAGCTTGTCAGGTTAGCGTGTGGCCCCTTTTGGCCCATAATTTGTTGAGTTATCTGTCTGTATCCCCATTCTACTCGCCGAGGAGTTTTCCTACCCTCCCACTACTCTCCTGCCTCAGTAGTACCTCCCTAGGAGGGGTGTTGTGAGATTCAGGTGAAGTAAAAAGGTGTAAAAATGCTTAGACATTATCCATCTATTATTTCTGTTGGAGAAGCACTCTGTCCCTGAAAGCTTCTGTGATGAGCCTGAGTTCCAGCTGCAGCCCACTGGCCCTTCTCTGCCCCCAGGGGCGTGCAGCTCCTCCTGGATTGCTAATGCCTCCCCACCCTTTTCAAAAGGAAGAAGTGGGTCTCCTCCCCAGCTGGTGCCTGGAGGATGTCCACTGTGCTTCATCCTGGACCAGAGATTCAGTTGTGCCATCTTCCAACCTCTTTTCCTCTTTCAGCTGTGACTTCTCAAGGAGGGTGCAGAGAGGAGGAGGGAGTGACCCCCTGGCTCCTGGTAACACTGTCCCAACGTGGGAAAGTTTAACAAGCTGTGCGTCATTTCTGTTCTCAATAGGGAAGCAGACTTCTTTCACTCATTAGAAAAAATTTTTCTATTGGGCAACCCAGCACTGACTTCCGGTGTTCGGTCGAACCTTGGTCATTGTGGACGTTACAGACCCTGGCTATATATATATATATATATATATATATATATATATACACACACACACACACACACACATATATATGTATATATGTATATATACATAGATATTTACTATAGGCATATTCTGATTATTGAGTTAATATGTGCTCATCGTAGAGAACTTGAGAAATAGCTGAAGGAAGCCAAACATTACCCATGACCCCACAAGTGAATATGTCACTTTTACAGATGACCTTGATGTTGTTTGAGCAAAGCAAGTAAAATAAGAAACCCAGAAAAAGAAATTGGAAACGGAGTTCATCCTCTCCTCCTCCCATTTGGGAACTACAGGTTTAGAATGGCCCAACTCAAAGCAAACTCAGACATTGACTAGTCCAGCCCTTCACCAACTACCCAGTGGAGTGTGCTTTCAGTCAGTCTTTGATTCCATGGGTTTTGAGTACTCACTCTACTCTAGATTCTAAGGATTAGATGATGTGGTAATGATCTCATAGGCCAGTGGTTCTCAACCTTGGCAGCACATTAGAATCACATGGGAATCTTGTTTAAATCCTGATTTCTGGGCCTCATCCTCTGGAAATTCTGTTTCTTTGTTACTAATGTTGTGGCCTCACCTCATAACAAACAGAATTTCCGGAGGACAAGGCCCAGAAATCAGGATTTTAAAAAGATTCCCAGGTGCCCTAGCCGGGTTGCTCACTGGATAGAGCGTCGGCCTGGGGACTGAAGGGTCCCAGGTTCAATTCCGGTCAAGAGCATGTACCTTGGCTGCAGGCGCATCCCCAGTAGGGGGTGTGCAGGAGGCAGCTGGTCGATGCTTCTCTCTCATCGATGTTTCTAACTCTATCCCTCTCCCTTCCTCTCTGTAAAAAAATCAATAAAATATATATTTAAAAAAAAAAGATTCCCAGGTGATTCTAATGTGCAGCCAAGGTTGAGAACCACTCTCATAGGCAAACCGGTTGTTTACCCTCTAATTATCCCCCAACGTGCCCAGGTGATGGAGGGCTTCTCAGAGTGGCTGGCAGACAGTAGGCAGGTGGTGAGCAGGTGATTGGCGGGTGGCCAGCTAGCCAGGCGCCCCAGACCCCACTTGCTTTCTTTCACTAAATACTGTGAAATGTCAGGTCTCCTTGCAAAGCTCCTTTATTGAGCAGAGTAGGAGAGTGCAGCAAAATGAAGAGGCAGAGCAAGGGAATTGGACGTTATAAAGGGAATTGCTTCCAGGCTTTGAGAAGCGGATGCATTGCTCTCATTCCCACCACAGTCCTTCTGCCGGAAGTAGGACGGCCCATGAACATGAGTAGCTCTCAGGCATTGCATCCGTATTTGAATGTATTGACAAAGCTGTGAGCTAGACAATGGTACGATCCCCACTTGATAGATGTGGAATAGGCACAAAGGGCTAGTGGGTCAGAAGGATCAGTAGTGGGATCCTGGCGATATGCCCCACCCAGACCTGTTGGCCTCTGAGTTTTACTCTGTGGTCATGACCAGTGCATTCCAGGGCCTTTGATTTCCCACGGGACCCAGGAGAGCGATGACCCTGGACTCTGTGCTATTAGCCTTACTGCTTGGAGCTGGGCAGGCAGTTCGCTGCACTAGGGCCCCTGGCTGAGAGTTTACTGCTAAGGGCCAAAGGAGGGGGTCACTTTTTTAAAAAAATATATTTTATTGATTTTTTACAGAGAGGAAGGGAGAGGGATAGAGAGCTAGAAACATCGATGAAAGAGAAACATCGACCAGCCACCTCCTGAACACCTCCCACTGGGGATGTGCCCGCAACCAAGGTACATGTCCCTGACCAGAATCGAACCCGGGACCTCTCAGTCCACAGGCCGACACTCTATCCACTGAGCCAAACCGGTTTGGCGGAGGGGGTCACTTTTTAAAACTCACACAGAGCAGCCATATGTGCCAGGGCCTGTCTCATGGCTTCTTTCTCCTTTGCCACTTCTGCCTTCCCAGGGTTCTGTGCTTCTCCAGGAGCAGGAGAAAATGACCAAGTCCCAGGTGAGTTGAGTTTTGATTTTGATCTCTTAAAATCTCTCCTCAAAGGTTAGACACAGCATCTTTCTCTCCCTTGGGAAGGATAAAAGACAGATGTGTGTTTGTTTTGTGCCGGTGACTAGCTGGCCTTTTATATTGGTTCTATTTTTGTTTTGGTTTTATTTTAGCATCTTCATTTCACAAATACTGGTGCAGAGATTCATAGATATAAAAAAACGTTTTAAAAGCCACACCACTACACTGCTACGCCAGCTGTTTTCCCCTAGGCTGTATTTTATATAATTACAGGCAGAGTATATGAACAGTTTTCAATCTTATGTTTTCACTTAATGTTATCACTTGAGTTTTTTGTGATTCGGCATTCTTTTATATACTCGTTTCAGAAGGTTTCTATTTTTTGTGTGTGAACTTCAGAAGCTACAAACAAGTATACCATACACTCCACTGTGCCTCTGAAAAAATTTTATTTTTATTTATAACACTTTTGCATGGGCTTTTAAAAACGAAATATAATTTAACAATGGGCTGCTAATTTTTATTGTTAAATGAAGGAGCTCTCTACATATTTCATCACCACGAAAGGTTCCCTCGTGCCCCTGGCCACACCCCTGGCTGTAGACAACACTGACTAACTTTATGTCACGACAGATTGATCTTTCCTAAAGTGCATGTAAATGGAATTATACAGCATGTCTTTTTTCATTTGTTCATCATTTGAACACATATCCATAGTTTTTATTGCTGCGTAGTATTACACTGTATGGGTATATACCACAATTTGGTTATCCAATCACCTGTTCTTAGTTTTTGGCTATCTATCTATCTATCTATCATCTATCTGAAGAGGTCATATGCTAATTGGTCCTAACGGTGTCACAGTCATGACCACTAAGGAGGAGGCTGCCTGCGTGTGCGGGCGGGACGTTGCTCCTTGAGACAGGGTGGCAGCAGGGAGGTGCCCGGAGGAGGTCCATGGGGATGAGAGCCCGTAGCACCCCATGACCAGACCTTCACCACCCACCGCTTGCACTCAGAGTGCCCCGCTGCTCACCTGCCTGGGGAAGGAGCACAGTGCAGCAGGTGGGAGGTTTCCACGCTCTCCTCCGGTGCCCTGACAGGGCAGAGCTGCTGCGTTGCTCCGGAAACAGAGCAGAAGCGGGGAGGTGCCCGGAGAAGGTGGGACCAGCCCAAGGCAACTCGAGGGACTGAGGGTGGGGCTTGAAGGGGCCAGAGAAGGTCAGAGGGGTTGAGAGGGCAGGGTGGGTCAGGCACCCTGGAGCTCTGCGTGGAGAGGTTTAGGTGTCAAAGCCAGGCAGCCGGTGGGCTGCGCGATTTCGCGCGCTGGGCCCCTAGTTGTTCATCAAGTTCTAGGAGGACTTGTGTACTAGACTTTTGGATGAACACGGGTTTTCTTTCTTTTTTTGATAAATAATTAGCAGGCGAATCTCTGGGTCATGTGCTTAGCTTTTTAAGAAACTGCCAAATCAGTCTCCACTGTGGGTGTATATTTCGCGTTCTCACCAGCAACATGTGAGAGCTCCAGTTGCCTCCACATCATTTCCAGGGTTAGGTGTTTCCACCTTTTAATTTCGCTGTTGTAATGGCAGACGTATAGTGGTATATCCGTGTGATTTTCTTCCTTTTTTTTTCATCAGTGCGTTTTCATTTGCATTTCCCGATGCCTGTGGATTTTGAATATCTTGTTTTCTTTTTGACCGTTTGTATATCCTCTTTTGGAATTGTTTGTTCAGCTCTCCTGTTCAATTTTTAAATTAAGTTGTGTTCTTAGTAGTTCTTTTTAGATTTTGGATGCAAGTCCCTCTGACCCATGAACATTTAGATCTTTCATTTACCACTTTTTCATTTATTTGAGTCTTACTTCCTTTCTCTGCCATGTTTTATGGTTTAGGATGTATAGATTTCTTATACATATTTTGTTGTATTCATCCCTAAGTGATGTTTTGGATTGGCTATTCTAAATGATACTGTTTTTGAAATTCAGTTTCTATTTAATTGATATTTGTATCTTGACTTTACTAAATTTGCATGCTTAGTTCTAGTAACATTTTGTATGTCACAGATTTTTCTGCATTGATGGTAAGTAAAGATTTGTCCTTCCATCCCCATCCCCATCCCCATTCCCATTGTGTTGACTTCTTTTTCTTCTCTTATTGCATGGCGGGGACTGCTAGAACAGTTTAGGATAGAAGCACTAACCGTGTACAGTAAGCCTGTCAGACTCGCAGCCCACAACGAATATTCTTGCGGGCCAGCCAATATAACACTATTTAAGAAACGTTTTAATAAAATTTTCGTAACTTAATTTTTACAATGTCCTGTTGCACATAATTATTAATAACAAACTGCAATGTGTGTTAATGACTAATTACTATAATCGTGTTGCATTAATTTCCCTTACGAACCTATGCGCAGGCGCACCATTTCTCTCCATTATTACTAACAGCAATTACTTGTGATAAGAGGGAATGTTCAGTACCAGTTCCCCTGTTCTAGCCGCAATCAGAAGTCTCTCTCCCCTGCATCTTTAATGACTACATCTTATTTCAATAAATTAATGTGTCTTAAAAAGTTTCCTATTTCTATGTATTTATGTGGTTTAAGGTTTTTGTGGGTTTTTTTTTTAAACATAAAAGTTTAGTTTATTAATCCTCTCATGAAAAACCTGCACAATAACCACAGAGAAAGTCACAGGAATCTTGACTCCTTTCTGCCAGCACCAGCATTGGCCTTGGCAGTCCCCCTGACTTTCTTCGTTCTGTTCTTGCGTTCCTGTCTCTGTTTTCTTGAGGTCTTCTTCTTCTCATATAGGCTGTGTCTTGCAAGTCTGTGTTTGGGTTCCTTTTTCTTTGCATAATCCAAGGAGTCAAAAATCATGCCAAAGCCAGTGGTCTTGTCACCACCAAAGTGGATTTTGATTCCAAACACAAAGATGACATCAGGTGTGGTCTTACACATTTTGGCTAGCTTTTCCCGAATTTCTGTCCTGGGTCCTGTTGCCTTCCCTGGGTGAAGGACTTCAATGACCATTTGCTTCCGCTGAAGTAGTCTGTTGGTCATGAACTTCCTGGTCCAGATAGTTACTGTGTCATTCATGATGAAAGTTAATCTTCAAGCAGCCAGGGAGGGGAAAAAAAAAAACAAAACTGATTTAAGGTTTTTAAAAAGTTGTTTCAAAGAGCACCGACGGGGAATCGAACCAGTGACCTCTTGGTTCATAGGTCTGTGCTCAACCACGGAGCCACACCGGCAGGGTGGTCCTCGTGTAAATTTGTTTGCATGCGCTGCAGCGAAGCCTGTGAGACTCCAAGTTCGCCAGAACGTCTTCGGGTGGATGTTCTTGGTGCTTCCCGAAGGCACTGCCGCGCGAAATCCCGTTGTGTTAGGTTCCAAACATGACCTCCTGGCTTGCGGAGATCGCTAACAGAACCTGCTGCTGCAATCGCTGAGCAAAGTGATGTATGGCTGGCGCTGTGGGTGGACTCCTGACGTGGAAACAGTGCGTGCTTGCTCTCTGTGCTAGAACAATGGAGCGCCGATTTCCGAAATAAAATTCAATGATTTTTACGCGTTGTTCCATCGTGAAATTTTCCATAATAGATTTCCACAAAACACATTTTTTAAATCTGAAACAATTTTTTTTAATTACTGCCAAAAGAGTTACGGCATTTTTAAACGGTAACGTGACTTATGGGCCGCCCTTGCCTCTGGTATGAGCACCATCGTACAGGTGAGGAAATAGATTCAGGCATTTGTCCGAAGTCATGCAGCTTGGGAGGGGCGCGCGTTGGGATTTAAACTGAGGTGTTCTGGCACGAGCACGGCCGCTTTGAATGCTGTCATCAGGAGTGTCACAGGTAGGTGGCGTGTGCCTTCAGAGTACGGAGGACCAACTTCATTGCTCTCAGTAAGGGTTGGTCAGGTTGAGTAACACAGTGACAGCACCCAGGCTTAGTGGACACGTGAGTGAGCAAGGAGAGAGAAAGGCTGTCAGACCCCGTTGGGAGTACATTGACCTAACATTTCTGGAACAATTGGGTAGCATTCATCACTGTATGAAATGTATCTCCCCCATGAGTGAAGACTTACAGTTCAGGGGGCTTCCTGTAGAAATACTCACAGATGACACCAAGTGAAATGAACAGGGATTGTTTGTTAATGGCACACACTTTGGACGGGACTGTGGAAAATTAGTGTATGAAATTGACATGCTGGGTTGAGAAGAGGGGGAAGGTCCTTAAAGTAGACTCGGGGCTGGCAGAATCCAGGACAACTTCCCCCCATCCCCTCTGCCCCTCAGTGCTGCCCTCTCCCCCTGCCCATTGGTCATAAAGTTGAGGTTCCCTGTGTTTGGGTTGTAGGAGGCGGTGACGTTCCAGGACGTGGCTGTGGTCTTCACGGAGGAGGAGCTGGGGCTGCTGGACCCGTCCCAGATGAAGCTGTACCGGGACGTGATGCTGGAGAACTTCCGGAACCTGGTCTCAGTGGGTGAGGACAGGCGCCCTCTGTCACTGAATGTCAGCTCCCAGGAGTATTTTGATTTCAAACGTTTAAGACTTTGGGACTCTTGAAATGTGTCCCCAAACCTGGGATCTCAGTTTTATAAGTCCTGTGAGATATCCTGTCTGTACCTTTCCTTTTTTTTGCAGATTGCAGTATTGACATCTTGGTGGCATTTAAAACCAGTTGTTTAGTTACATCTTTATTGTATTGAACAAAATAGAATAGAGACAGCATAGCTCCTTGTCGGAACCTCAGAGAGTGTAACCAAAATTGTGAGTAAATCAGGAAAGGCTGATCATTGTGAGCAGTGGCCCATCCATTTGCCCAGTGACATCCTCTCTGCCTACCACCCTCCCTTCTCCTTCCCTCCCCTTCACTTCTTCACTTCCTTCTTCCTTCATTCATCTTTTTTTTTCACATATATTTTTCATAGAGGAAGGAAGAGGAAGAGAGAGAGAGAGAAAAACATCAGTGATGAGAGGAAAACATTGATCAGCTGCCGCCTGCACACCCCCTGCTGGGGATGAAGCCCACAACCCGGGCATGTGCCTGACCAGGAATCGAACCATGACCTTCTGGTTCACGGGTTGACACTCAACCACTGAGCCACACGGGCCAGGCGCCCTTCATTTATCTTTACTTTGCATATCCCTCAGGTAAACCCTGCCTCAGATACAATAATCACAGTCATCCCTATTGGATGTAAGCACCAAAAACCAAAAAGTAAATCAGACAACAAACAAAAAAACACCTGGAAATTCTAGCTGCTTTTCTCGTAGACAAGGCCCTGCCTGCGGTGAGTAGTGGGGAAGTGTCTGCTCAGTCCTTTTATCTTTTCTGTTCTTGTGTCTTCGTGCTGGGTGACGGTCTCACAGTCAGGAAGTGTGGTGCTGTCTCCATTTGACTCGCTCTCTGATTTTTCTGTACATACCTGCCTTGGAATTACCATCCCAATTACGACTGCTGTCTGTTTATTTCTTACCAGGTAACTTCCCAGCTGCTTTGCCTTTAAATTTTTTTTTTAAGGGACGAAATTCTTTTCTAATTTATTGATTGACTAGAGGCCCAGTGTACAAATTTGTGCATCAGTGGGGTCCCTCTCCTGGCCTGCGGGATTGGGCCAAAACTAGCTCTCTGGCATCCCCCGAGGGGTCCCAGATTGCAAGAGGGCGCAGGCCAGGACAAGGGACCCCACCAGTGCATGATCAGGGCCAGGGAGGGATGTGGGAGCTGGCCAGCAGGAGAGGGACCACAGGAGGGCCCCAGGGCGTGTCCAGCCCATCTCACTCAGTCCCGATTGGCCGGACCCCAGCAACAAGCTAACCTACCGGTCAGAGCATCTGCCCCTGGTGGTCAGTGCATATCATAGTGACTGGTCAACCAGTTAACTGTCTACCCCCTGGTGGTCAGTGCACATCATAGCAAGCGTTTGAGTGGCCTTAGCATATCATTAGCATATTACACTTTGGTTGAACAGGTGACCAGACACTTAGCATATTAGGCTTTTATTATATAGGATTGGATTTAGAGAGAGAGAGAGAGAGAGAGAGAGAGTAAGAAAGAGAGAAAACCATCGATTTTCTGTTCCCTTTGTTTAGGCATTCAGTGGTTGATTCTTGTATGTGTCCTCACCAGGATTCAAAACCACCAACTGAGCTACCCAACCAGGGCTGCTTTGCCTTCTTGAACAAATCTTTACTATTATTTTTAAATTTGGGGCTAAATTTTATTGAAATACTAGAAGCCCATTGCACGAAGATTCACACAATAGGCCTTCCTTCCCCTGGCTGCTGGCACTGGTTTTCCTCCGGTACCCAGAACCCAGGCCTTTGGTCTGGCCACAGCAGAGAAGCCAAGCGTCTTCAGTCTTCAGTCTTCACTGCACGCCTGTGTATGCAAATTAACTGCCATTTTTGTTGGGTTAATTTGCGTAATCGCTCTAATTGGCTGGTGGGCGTAGCAGAGTGACACCAATTTGCATGCTTCTCTTTTATTAGTGTAGATAAACAGAAAACTGCATAGATTATAAACTTATACCTCCATGAGTTTTCAGGGTCTGAAATGACTTATTTGTTTAACTTTTTTTATTGAAGTAACATTTCCATATGCACACCTAAGCACTCAGTTTGATGAATTTTGACAAACTGATACACCTCTCAGGAAGCTGAACAAAACTTATAGCATATTCAACTCCATCTCCCTTATTAAAAGTTCTTTTTGGCCCTTGCCAGTTTGGCTCAGTGAATAGAGCATTGGCCTGCGGACTAAAGGATCCCAGGTTCGATTCCAGCCAGGGGCACAAACCCGGGTTCCAGGCTCGATCCCCCGTAGGGGGCATGCAGGAGTCAGCTGATCGTGGTTCCCTCTCATCATTGATGTTTCTATCTCTCTCGCCCTCTCCCTACCTCTCTGAAATCAATAAAAATATATTTTTTAAAAAGTTCTTTTTGGCAATATCAAAATATCCCAAGATTTTCCATATTGTCCATCTAATTGCCCTGCTCCATCCATGAAGAATGTCCTAACAGAGGTCTATTTTCACTCCACAGGTACACAAACTAAAGGGTTTCTTCTCCCTTAAGAGTTCTTATAAACAAAAGCTCACTGAGAACATTGCTAGGTGGATCTCATTTTCACTCCTCCTGGAGACGGCTCACAAGTGGAGGAAAAAACAGTGTGGCAAAATGATTATCTCAGAACATTACTACTCTTCTGATGAATTTGTAACCTAATTATAATGTTTATGGTACTTGTATTAGCTACTTATACCTGCATCACAAACTATTCTTAAACTTAGCAGCTTACAACAACAAGCATTTATTTATACTTCTCTGAGTCAGGAATCTGGTGGCAGCATAGTTAGAGGATAAGGGTCAGGATCTCATAAAGTTGCTGTCAAGGAGTCCAGCAGAGCTTCAGGCCTTTGAAGGCTTAATGGGACTCAAGTATTGAGTTACCGGATAGACTCATTTACATGGTTGTTGACAGAAGGTCTCAGTTCCTTGCCAGTGGGCCTCTCCCTTGAGTTCCTGAGTGTCCTCAAACATGGCAGCTGGTTTCCCCCAACTACATACACCTAAGAGAGTGGAAAGCAGAAACCACAAAGTCTTCTATGAACTAACCTTGGAAGTGATGTCCTTTCACTTCTGCCATATTCTATTGCCTTCACAGACCAATCCTGATACATGTGGGAAAGGACTGATATTTGATAGGAGACTGATGTCAGGAGGCAGGGTCATTGGGAACCATTCTGTATGCTGGCTATCACAGCACCTTCTCGTATATACAAAACCTAGAAGATAATGGTAGCCATTTACATTTATCATAAAATTCAGCCAAATTAAGTGGCAACAATTATCATAGGATTTTTATTCCCATAAGATGCATCAGTTATGGGAATGAATTTCCTACCTTTTCCCAGTTATAATGTTCCCCAGTTGAATATTATATATTTTCCCTTTTGCTGAGAAAATCCCCTGGTCTGTAGCCACATATTTCTCATTTTGACTTCATATGTAAGTCTTGGTATAGTTCCAAACGATTCTCCTTAACACTTAGGAGTTAGGTGCCTGTTCATCACATCATTGTTTTCATAGGTATGAAAAAGCCAATGACAAAGTCCAGGGTCTCCCAAAGTAGTTAACCTGAGAAATATTTTTATCTCTGAACAGATGTCCATTTGTCTTCATTTTCATTTCTGAGTTCTCTATCCTTCCAGGACACTGGAATCAAAATGAGATAGAAACTCTTCAAGAAGTTGGATTACAGTATCTTTTCCATGAAGACCTTGTGTGCTGGCAAATATGGGGACAACTTATAAGTAAGTTAACCAGAAATCAAGACTTGATAAAAAATCTTCAAGGCAAGACATCTGATTTGCCCAAACAAGGTGATTCCTCCTTTCAGTTGTGGGCTGGAGAAACTACTCAAGTTTCTGAAGATGAGAACTGTACAATTAAGTTTCCAGGGAAAGTTAAAAGTTCTAATGGTATAAAAACTCAAGAGTGTCCAATTAAGACCAACAGGAATTTCTGGAAGAAAATGTATCTCAGAGAGTCACAGAATTATCAGAGTAGGTGTCAGCAGATTGATGGAAGATGTAAACTGTACAAGTGTGATCGTTGTGTTACGAGAAGGACCTCTCATGACCACGATGATGATCGGGAAGTACAGAAAGGCGTGAAGTCCTGTAGCCACAAGAATTGTGGGAAAGACTTCATGAAGAAATCATTTCACCATAGTGTAATCAACTCAGGAAAGCAAACCTCTGATGAGAATAGAAAAGGCCTTGGGTCCAGTCTTGAAGTTCATCAGCAGTTGCACCTAGGAGCAAAACCCCATATTTGTAGTGAGTGCGGGGAGGGTGTCAGTTATAGTTCAATGCTTTGCACTCATCAAAGTAATTCCACAGAAGAGAAATGCAATAGGAATGATGAGTGTGATGAGGACTTTAGTCAAAACTCACATTTGCAAATCTATCAGAGAGTCAACATGGGAGAGAAACGCTACAAATGTGAAGAGTGTGGGAAAGGCTTTATGTGGAGCTCATGGCTTCATGTTCATCGGAGAATCCACACAGGAGAGAAACCCTACAAATGCGGTGTTTGTGGGAAGGGCTTAAGTCGGAGTTCATATCTTCAAGCCCATGAGCGAGTCCACACAGGAGACACACCCTACAAATGTGCTGTGTGTGGTAAGTGCTTCAGTCGGAGTTCACAACTTCAAGTCCATCAGCGAGTACACACTGGAGAGAAACCCTACAATTGTGCTGTGTGTGGTAAGAGCTTCAGTCATACCTCAACTCTTCAATCTCACCAACGAATCCACACAGGAGAAAAACCCTACAAATGTGCTGTGTGTGGGAAGGGCTTCAGTCAGAGTTCACTTCTTCAAGATCATCAGCGAGTGCACACAGGAGACGCACTGTACAAATGTGCTGTGTGTGGTAAGAGCTTCAGTCGGAGTGCACATCTTCAAGCCCACCA